CCGCTCAATCTTCTTCTCAACCGCTACGTCGAGTGACTGCAGTGCCGTCAAATCCTCCACCGACACCCCAATCTTAGCGGACAATGGCGGTATATCAGGTGCCGTTAGCTGCAGTTGGGTAGCATTGCTTTTGGGCTCTGACCACGGCAGTGATAGCACGACGGAGGGAGTGGGATTGGAAGAGAGAGAAGGAAGAGACGGAATTGGAAAAGAGAAGGAAGAGAGTGATGGGTTTGGAGCGTTTCCCGTGTTTTCCAATTGTTGGCTGTTTTCTACTGAAAATTCTCAAAACGGCTAAAACCCCGTTTTCCGTTTTCTTTACAATTTTTTTTTTGTTTTCGAAAATCCATTTTCGAAAATGACAAAGAGAACGCGTTTTTACCGTTTTGAAAATTAAAAACAGAAAATGGCTTGAATACGACAAAGACAACTACACCTAATTGATTTCAATCCAAATCGCAAGTGAACAAAGATTTAGAAGGAAAGGAAAGGAACACTGGATTCGACTCATTTAGCCACTGCAGATGCAGAACCCCTCAGACTCTCCTTCATCGGCGCATCAAATTCACTCTGATCAAGAATGTGGGTTCAGAGTTGGGAAGCGTGTCCACTGGATTGGGGATACCCGGCGGATTGGAACGGTCAAGTATGTGGGACCCGTGGAGGGGTATTCGGGTACATGGGTCGGAGTTGACTGGGACAACGACGGCGACGGCAAGCATGATGGGTCCCACAACGGCGTCAAGTACTTCGACGCCAGAGGCCTCAAAACGGCATCGTTTGTTCGACCTCACAATCTGAGCTCCGGAATTTCGCTCTTACAAGCACTCGAAGCTCGCTATCGAACTGTTTCTACTAAAGAAGAAGAAGGTACTATGTGCATCAAATGTTAATCTTGCTTTTTTTTTTTAAGTAAAACAAGTGTACATTGCTGGTGTGTTTGTGAATTTGTTTGAAACAAGACCTACCTGTGTATAGATTTTACCGGTTTGGTTTAGGACCTTGTACATTTTGCGGCAAGTTTTTATGAATCTGTTTGAAACAAGGCTTTTGTGTGTATATGTTAAATTCATGGCATTTGAATGCATCTACAATATGCAGAATGTTATGATCACTTTAGACTATACTCTTACTGAAATAACTATGGGGGTATGAGCGAGTGATTCCTTTTATGGTTAGATTGGGAATGACTATCTATGTTTGTAGATTATTATCTTTATCTCAGTTTAGAATTTTTTTATTGAATAATGTGCAAATTAATGAAGAAGAAATCTTACATTTTCCCATGGTCAATTTCTCTATTTAGAGTTTCAGATTTGGCAGTATTCATGTTTTATTTGTCAAAAACTACTTTCTAAGCATCTTTTCTTTTCAAGGGTTCTAAGGGTCATGTTTAAGTAGGATCTTGTTTTTGCTACACCAGAAGTCCAGAAGTTGGAATACTCTTGCAACTTACACTTTCATAGCTTTGTTGCCTATTTGGCATGAATTTTGTGGTTAAGAAGCTGCTTTTAGTCCTGTTTAGATAGTTTTCTGAACTTGTTTCGTATGATTAGAAGTGTTTGTTGAGAAAGCTGGCCCAAGATGGTTTCTCGAAAGACTCTTCTTTAAAAAGTAGAAGTAGAAGCTATCCCAAACATGCCCTTAATCTAGTTTGAGACTTTAAGATTTTTTTAGGATTTTGTGTTGTGGCTCAGTTATATAATTTTTTTTTCGCAGTTTTTCTTCAATACATTCCACTAATGTATCACTCTACATTATCAGGAAAAATGAAAAGAAAAGAAAATAAGAAAATGTAGTAAGNAAGAAAATAAGAAAATGTAGTAAGTTGGGTGATTATCTGACCCAACTTACTACATTTTCTTATTTTCTTTTCTTTTCATTTTTCTCACTTTTCATGTAAAAACTTGGGCTGATAGTCATTGGAATATTGTGTATTCTTATGCGGCAGATGAGATGTATGTCCTTTCTGCAAGAAACAAAAGGGTGTCTATTGAGCTGCTTGGAAAAGAGAAAATTCAAGACAAGCTAAGTCAATTTGAGGAGTTGACAAGTGCATCACTGTCTTATTTAGGTGTCAGCTCTACTGGATCCCCTAGTCATATCAGTTCAACTCTACCACGTAAGCTATTTGCCTTTCAATTTAGTACATAATCTTGTTTCTATTTGTCTTGTCACTCCTTTTCCGTGTTTCATATGGAAATTTGCTTTAGGTTTTTAAGTTACATGTTATCAGTCTTTAAAATGGCTAAAGATGGGTGCATAAAATTTAGGGCATTGAAGCGTAAGTCTCAACAAATAATTCACAAAATTAGAAACTACAAAATTATGCTAGTAATAAACCATGAACCACTACAACAAAAATTTAAGTTCAATTTTCATCTAGAAGCATAAAATAAATCACACAAGTAGCAACTAAAACGAAATCATAGAAACGACAATGATTAAATATAAAAGAAAGAGAAGAAGAGTGTAGTTACCTATTGCCGGTTTAGTTGCTGCCAAAAAGCTACAATGTCACTATGGAATAAGGTCGCACAGGTTAGTATAAACAGCCTAATAAATTCGCAGAACATCCTGGACATGGAAATTACCAGCCCTAAAGAACAAAACAGAACAAAACTGTGGAGCATGTGCCTCAGCTTCCCTAAGGCTTATACTTGAGCCGATTGCCTCATTAAGTCTAGGCATAAACCTAGGAGCACTCAAAGCTTAAGCTTTGAGGCTAACAAGGAATGCCTCACACCTAGCAGGCTTCAAGAAATGCACTTCGAGCACTTCTGAAAAACTGCCTCTTATCAAGCTTTATTTTTTTACTTCTTTTCTTTTTATGATTTTTCTGGATATTTCTTCTTGGAAACCTCCTTGTCAATACCACCTTGCTTTTCCTGCTCGAACTTTATGCTAAATGGAAATGGTTTTATTGCAGATCTAAAGGAGCTCGATTTGACTGGAAATCTTCTTGCAGAATGGAATGTATGGCTTACTGCTTCTGCTAATAAATTGATTACTGTCTCTCATTCTACTTCGCATTTTGCTCCTTTACGAGGAGAAAATTTTAGATATGGGTCCTCCAATGGCCTAAAAAATGGCATTGTGAATTTGGAACCAAAGGATCAGGGAATGAGGATATGCTGAACCAAATGTTAATTACTGCTCTAATTTTCTTCAGCTCTGAAATTCGCAATGTTATTGTTATTGTTGTAATATAAGCTCTTGTTTGTGACAATATATCGTCTTGTTTCAAGAGAGAGCTGATCTGTTAACCTCGTAACAGTCAATGGGCTTCAACTGTCACTTTCTTCAATTTCATAATTGAAATTTTTTTGCGAGTTATGTGCCACACATGGCTGAATGAAGGACCACTTTCTCTTGCCGTTCGTTGCAGGATGTTGGCATCATCTGCAAAGCGTTACCTTCTCTTGCTGCTCTCAATTTATCCTATAATTCCTTGTCAACTGACATAACTACTATGCCTCAGCTGAACAGCATAAGAATTTTAGTTCTGAACCATACTGGCGTGATCTGGAAGCAGGTATTGGCTCATGTAGTTTTCTTTTCTTTCATTAACTGATTTGGTTAGGACATTCCTTGTAATGGTTTATGTTTTTTGGCAGGTCGAAATGCTTAAAGATTCACTGCCATGCATTGAAGAGCTGCATCTTTTGGGGAACAAATTGAGAGAAATTACGGTCTGTGCTTCTTTTGTGGTGATAGGTTTTTGTTGAACTGCAACTATTGTTTGATGTGGAAATTCATATGGTGCAAAACACTAGTCTAGCAGCAATCTTTAACAGTAAACCAATTAAAGACAATGAAATATAGCTGCTTGCTCTATAATGATTCGTGCCATCTCAAGGTCATTTTAAATACGAAAATGTAAAACTATTTGTTTACCTATTTCATACACGCTGCAAGAGAATGGAGACTAAAGGATCGCTTGCTGAAGGATATGGCTTCCTAGAAATGATCATAAGATCATATTTGTCTAGGGAAATGTTAATGGAGAAAGAAAATGTAGAAGGGGAGAAATAGAATTTTGTCACGTACTAAAAAATGAAAATAGTACCGTATGTTATCAAAATATGCTGAAGAGAGTCACGAGTTAGGGCTGGTACTTAGGAAGCATGGGTAGTGTGGGAAGAAGTTCACCAATTTGGTAGTTTATTCAAAATAGCTGTAGGTCCATTGCAATTGTTGAGTGAAAAATGAATAATGCTACTTTTGCATAATGGTTTACGTATAGATAAGGTGTCATAAAGAGAGGGGGGAACTTATTATTATTTTTATTTAGTTGAAGAAATTCTGATCCCATCATATCTCACCACATCATGTGTATGTAAACTATTATGTACAAGTAGCACAACCATAGTAAAGTATTCTCAACAAGCATAAAACAAATACCCATATTGGAACATCTATTATTTATGATAGTTTTTAGATAGCTAAAAGTACTTTTTGTGCTGGTTATAATGCTTCCAGCATAATAATAATAAGTATGAAACATGCAAAATGGCCCTTTTTAGGAATCGGCACTACTATGAATATTCCAGTACCTGCACATGTCATAAGTGTGGATCCTACTTTTGATATTCTGGACTTGCTAGAGTAATTTCAAATGAGTTGATGGCTTCTGTTATTCTTGTCATATGAAACTTCTATCTTCTGCAACTGAGAATGAATATAAACTATTGATCTTTTATGGTCTTTTTTTTTCCCCTTCAAAATTGCTGCTTCCCTCTCTTCCAGACAGTGTCTGCCACAGCTGTCCAGGGATTTGATTTTCTGCGCTGTCTTAACCTGGAAGACAATTATATAGCTGATTGGGAAGAAATCTTAAAGCTTTCACAGTTGAAGAGGTATTGGAAAGGAAATACTAATGGGTCTTTGATTATTTGCCCATAACATTTGTTTGCTCTTTGAAATGATTGAAATATTTTGGTACATTCATAGCTTGGAGCAGCTTTTTTTGAACAACAATGATTTGAATCGCATATGGTACCCTGATTATGGTACAACACATAAATCAGACAATGGTTGCAAGTCTCTTGACAAAAATCCTAGGCCTTTCAATACTTTGCAGTGCCTTCTTTTAGGTAATATCATAACTACTTGTGCTACCAATCTTCCCCTGTTATTGTCATTGTTGTTTAAGGTATTGATTGGTAGCTTAATTTATTAGGAGGTAACAAAATTGAAGACCTGGACTCCATCGATTCACTTAACTCTTTCCCCAACTTGGTGGTGAGCACTATATTTTCGATTCTTTTATTTGTCCTTGCAACATTTATATAATATCCGTGAGGGATGATGTGAAACAGTGTAAAATGTTTCATGAATCTGATATCTATTATTTGTGTAATAATATATGTTGGAGTTAACAGGGTGAGCCGTAATATAAAGAGAGTGAAGCTGTGTTCAGTTTTACCTTCTTGTGGATAGTGTTATATTCTCATAATTCTTATCAGAATGCATGAGATACTAGGCCTGGCTTCAAACATATGCAAGGCTAAAATTAAGTTAATATTGTGTAGGTTTTATACATTCCTTGCATGAACGATCCAAGCTCAATCCTAATTTTTACGTTGGTTCTGCGTAAGTAGGGTCCGGTTTGCATGGCTTTTCTTTATTTACATCACTTGCTATGCTGGCAAGTATTAGGATTACTAGGAATGAGGACAATTGAACATAACACTGTGGTCCATTTACTTAAAAGAATTCATATGGTCCTTAGACAAGGCAATGGATGATGATTAATCACTTCCATTTTTTCAATATGGGTGGAGAGGATGGATAAGGGATTAATGATGCAATCACATGTTGCGTTTCCTATTTACTAATTCAGAAAATTAGTTGTTTCTGTTAATTCATGCAACTATATGCTGATCTACCTCTATAATTCTGTACCTCCAATAAAAAAGGAAGTTTATTAATGTATATGCATTATATTACATTATTGCCTCAGTATAATATACATGAAATTCTCTGGCTCCTCACCATTGATCATAAATGTTAATCTCACTCTATAGATACGTGATAGTTGTGGTTTATTTTATCTAGGATATAAGGCTTTCCGAGAACCCTATAGCAGATATAGGGAAAGGCGGTGTACCCAGATTTGTTTTGATTGCCCGTTTGGCGAAAGTAGAAACATTAAATGGAAGTGAGGTACACTCCTGAACTCTAGCAATCCTTGTTTGGGGTGGTCGTCTCAGCAGTTATCATAGTTCTAATACGCCTGTTTATTCCAGGTTAGTCCTCGAGAAAGGAAGGACTCTGAAATTCGGTATGGCTTTGCCTTTCTAGTCTGTGTTCTGTATAATTTAATATGTCATGTTAGGCTCTAATCGTCATATTTGAAAGCCCTTAACGCATTTATAGGTGCAAGGAGAAACCAAGTGAAAACTCTAAGATTTTGATGAATACCTGACAAAGCGGTGCTTCATTTTATTCATTCTCCTGATCAATATGTGTTTTTATGAGATTTGATCAGTGTTATACTCATAAGTCATATCTGGAAAGGACTTGGTAACTTCGATCTTTAATCCTAAGAGATTTAATTGGTCCATAAAATTTGTTTCAGATCATTTCATCTTTGAAAAACCCCTGTTAATATTCTTATGGTAAAATTACTCGATGCCTTATGTGCCTCTTGGGTATTAAATCTTCTGTTTAATTTCTTTTCTTTCCTCTCGACTCTTTCCAATTTAAGTCGCTAGCAACCTCTCTACTGCTATTCATCTCAAAATTTCTGATTTACACTTCTGAAACCCTATCCAGATAAGAAGCTATCTTTCACCATGTGTGATTCGTCAAAATGTCCACAAGTTCCTACAATCAAAGCAATTACTTTCGCAGGAATTTAGTCCTGAGTTTTAGTTGTTAGAGCTTAAACCTTTTGAACAGTCACCCTGAGCTCTCATCTGTACAGCCAAAATCTATGATTTTTTAGCTAGAAAAGAGTGTGGAAAGTATGAAAGGGGAATTATTTGTGAGATGAGCATGGAATGTGTCCACGACAAAATGAATTGTGCTGTTTTCTTTTGGAATATCACAAAATTTCTAAAGAGGCCCTTGAAACTACCTTCTTTAACTTCAATTTTCCTGTTATATTATGAGTAATTTCTTTAAACATGACGTCGCTTAAATTTCTTCTGCAGCTATGTTCGATTGGTCATGTCGAAGTTTCATGATAATTCTGAAGAAATTACACAGCTTCACCCCAGGTAATTTTTATTTTTTGATCATTCCATTGAAATTTTATTTATTGAGGTATGTGATTCTCTTAATCTTTTGATGCAATCACATCATTTTGATGGTAAACTATGTGGTTGTCATATTTTCTCTGCACTTTTGGTAGTTCAAATTTGGATTTGTGCATGTGCAAGGGATAGGTAGGTAGTTTAATAGATTTGGGAGTGTACGTAATGGAAGTTTATTTCTCTCAATAACAACGATTTTGTTTATTTAACTCTTTCTTCATTTGTTAAATTTTTAACATTTTCTGGAAGAAAACCATAGACTTATGAGTAACTCGTGGTCAACTAGACGACTGATTGAGAAAGGATATTTCTCTCGTATTATCCTTCCTTTCTTCTTTTCCTTTTCTTATGGGGTGGGGTGGGATGGGGTAGGGTTGGGGGAGTATGCTCTACTGGCTGCCATATCTAAAGGTCATTTCTATTATGAACTGATTACAGGATCTGTATCAATGTCTGTACTCCCCTAAATGCTTAAATTAAATCTCTCTTGTGGTCAATGTTAGGACACTTTGGCATTTGATCTGCAAATATTGGTCAGTATAATTTATATCATCTTACCTTTCTCCTCATTTAGTTAATGAATTTAAAGACAAAAACAATATATTCAATTAATGAATGTAAGGAGAAGTTTACTGTTGCTTATCATTTGTTAATTATCATATCTGTGCACGGACTCCTATAATCTGTGAGCTTGAGATTCCAAAAAGCAAATCTCTAGAATGATTCCATTAATGAGCCTGAGGGAAAGTTTGCTGTTGCTTATCATATGTTGGTTCATCATACAGTGAATTTTGAATTTAGTTCACTATTTTATTTTATTTTTTACTTATAGAGGTGGTGTTGAGAGGAGAGAAGTGAAAAGGTCAACTAAGATGTGAAATGTAGATATAAATTATTGTATGAAGAGTATCGTACAACTTTTGAGCAAATATTTCAAGTACGTTATCTTCAGTTCGCTACGAATCTTGATGAATAAGCATATGCATTTCTATTGTTTCATCTGGTTGATAGTATTAATATTCTTCTTCATTTATATTCAGCTATCTTCGTTACTGAGGGTTAATAGTTAAGGAGTGTAAATTAGTAATTACCCTTGGATATTTCTATAAACCGCCATGATATGTAGGTTTGCTGAGCTTAAGAAAATTCATGGAATTGAGGATGAAAGGCCGTTAACAGGAGCAACAGGCCCTCAAAAAATGGCTTCAGGACTCATCTGTATGAATCTATTTTTGGAATTAGCTTCTATGAATTCAGATATTCAATCTTCTTATAGTTCATGCTGCCATATGCAGCTGTTTCTTTGAAGTGTGTTGGAGCATCAATTGGTGAAAAGCCCCCGGTGATGAAAAAATTGCCTGCAACTACTACGGTGAGATTTCTAAGTTTTTTCGTAGCACGTCTATCCGTTGATGTTCTTTCTTGGTGGCTTACAATGAATGTGCTGTATACACCACTCTTGTTTTAGGTCGGAAAGCTAAAGAACTTGTGTCTGAGTTTCTTCAAGTTAAAGTCTGTTAAGCCAGTTTTGTTTCTTCAAGAAGAGGTTTGTGCAGTCGCCCAAAATATCTGAGTGCTTTTCTATCTTCCGGAATAGTAATATGTTGGAATTGTTGGACTGAGTATGTTTGGTTGTGCTTAAAAGTAAGTCAAAACTTACTTTTCAGTTACTTGTTTTGTATGATTTCCAAAAGTTACTATATTTTGCTAACAAAATTTACTTTCAAGGAACCTAACTTTTAGGCACAGCGAAACATGTTCTACATAAAAATACTGGAATAGTGTTCTGTGATTTAATATCATTCCCTGGCTAGATTACTGCATGATTTCCTAAAATCCAGTGGTATGCTAAAGTTTATATGGGCATCCACATGGTTTTACAGGATTCTCCGCTACCTACATTGCTTGAGGATGATATGGCATCTTTAATTGAACTTGGAGTCGGTAATGGGTCGACCATTCTTGTAAATGAAGAATCCTGATGTTCAATGTTGAAGGGTATGAAAACAATCCAAATTATCTCTTTCATACGTAGTTTGGATGAGGTTGTACCGTGATTTTTTTGTGTATCGGCTGAACTGATTTTAGCTCGGATGTCTTTTAAGCCTTATTTATCAAATATATAATACTTAATACATCATTTTAGTTTTTTCACTTTGTCAAAGTTTGATGTATTTATCATATAATGTGCTTGCCAATATTGTTTAAATGCGAGTAAGTTACCTACTAATATGGCCAAGCGGTCATTGATTCTCTTTCGAAATGCTTCAAGGGTGATTAAATTATTTATTTCACAAAAGATGTTAAACGCCCATGTTTTTGACTAAAATGATAAATGTAGCGCTTGTTCTCTCAATTGTTTTTTATTTTCTCCCCTAAACTCGTATTCATCCAAACATTTTTTTAATAAAATAATTTTACACTTAAATTCAAAATTTTTTCTTACTTTTAAACTATACATTCTCTATAAAAATTATTATTACAAAATTTATTCTCCTGCAAAATGGGCTCAAAGTATTGAAGTGAAGTTCAAAGATAAAATGTAGCGTTATAAAAGGTTAAGATTACAAAATGACATGTTTGACTCATTAAACTTGTGTTTCGACTAAGTACACGCTTCTCCAAATATACAAGATTTGAAATACAAAATCTAATACTAAATCCAAAGTCAAGACCCAAATATTTCTTTTGTCGTTTTGGATCCACAATTAATTCTGTGGATCTTTAGGATTGATATATTTTTTCTATAGCTTGCAGTTGAGCGAAGACAAGATCATAGAACGAGAATACACATGCGTAAAATGTTCAATTAACAGTTTACAAAACACTCCCTTATCAGTATTGCACTTTTACTGTTATCTTAAAATTTCAGCATCTCATAAATTTATTTTAAATGACAAATATTGCATCCCTCAACTGGTCGGTATTAATAAGATACAAGCATATCTGATACTACCAAAAATTGCACCTGGTCAATTCCGAGCTCGACGACTGATAACTTGCACGAATGCGATCTTTCGATACCTGAAACAAAGGCGTCGAGGTATGTCCTCGTCGCCCCCTCCGATACTTAAGTCAGAGAGAGAATGTAGAGAAAATATGTGCTGAAAATATATGTAAAAAGTGTACCTGAATCATGATCCTGGGTTCCATATTTATAGGGCTACGTAGTGGTAAACTCCTAGTAGGACTTGTTATCCTATTTTTAGGAATGTCTCGTGGTAAGATTAATGTTGGGTTAAGGCTAGAAGTCTTAACTTACCATGCGTTCCAAGGTAGAATTCTTATAGTCCTAGGATTCTTAATTTATGGTGATTGGATAAGGTTAACGCTATTTAGGGATGAGGACTAGTAATCGCTCGATTATGGAGCAGTTTGAGAATCTGGCTAAGGCAAAATCCCGAGCACTTACACTCGAAGATTACCGACGTGACTCTGGAGGCACCCTATAGGGGTCTTTATAGCGTGTGGGTACTTGAACATTACGCCGTACCTCGACCTTTATCGAATGGTGCTCGAGCTCAAACAACTCCCCCAATTCACCTGTTTCGTTTACCTCTCAACCCGAGGTGGTTTTAGGATCCCGACCTTACCTAGTTCACTAAAGGGGTGGAAAGAGAAATGGTTTTATGTCCAAGCTCGAGAACCCGACCTTCCAATCTGGCCTAGGTGGGGTATCCCGGACACTGTTAGGTTTTGTGAAGGGCAGGCCTATTTTGAGTTGTTAGAGCAGGATAGGAAAATGCTCGAGGATCTCGACCCCTTGGTCCTGGACATGAAAGAGTTACTCGGGGATGAAGTGTTAGACTTCGCTGATGCGAGGGGCGTCGAGGGTAGGGTCCTCTTCCTTATTGCTTTTTTTTTTGTTCTTCTCATTGCTCTCGAGGACGTGATCGATCTAATACCTTGGTTTTTTTGTTTTTTTAAGTAATGTCTTTTGATCCATCCGCACCTCCGTAGGTTTGTAAACTCGAAGGCTAAGGCCCTTGAGCCCAGTCTCCAGGCCACGAAGAAAAGGAAGAAAAGGCATCGGCCGTCAAAACCCGATCACTCTGTGGGAGGCCCGGTGAGTCCTCTTAGGCTCATCCTCACATCTCCAGCCCTCAAGTGACTCGTCAACCATCTCCATCTTCCTGAGTTCTTCCTCCTCGGCGCACTTCTGAGGTCGTCGACCTCGAAGATGACTCGATCCCACCAATCTCCTCAGTCATAGAGGATTATGAACGTTGCCACCTCGTGCCCAGCATCATGGCCAAGTACCGAGGTGATGTCGATTTTGACGAGGGAATGAAAGCTCTCGAGCTTTTGACTTTGAAGGTAACGTGCTCGACCATAGTGTAAGCTATTATTTTCTTTTCTTTGTTGAAGTGAATTTCCTGACCTCATGTTCGTTATGTTATGGACAGACCCTTATCGTTGCTCGGGGCTTGTCCTTGCAAGGGATGGACGAATCCCACAAAATGTCAGGGCTCGTGGAGTTCGTCAAGCTGAAGGATAAGAGGATTGCTGACCTCAAGGCTGAGCGTGAGGTCATTCTAAAAGAGCACGAGGATGCCAAGAGTGAGACACGACGTGCTCGAGATGAGGTCGGGGCCGCCAAGGACGAGGCCGAAGAGGCGAGGCTTGAGCTCGAGCAGAAATGTAAAGAATATGAGGCCAAACTTACGGAGGCCAGAGCTCGAGCTTGGGAGGAGTTCAAAGTGTTCGATGAATGCGACAAGCTCAAGGCTGAATACGCTTCAGGAGCGTATCTTCATGCTTTCAAAGAGGCTAGAGCGTTCCTTCGTGCTAAGCTCCCCGACGTTCAGCCCGAGGAAGTCCGTCCCTGGCATAACAGATACCCTCAAGCTTTCTAATGCAGAATATGCTGCCGGGAACGAGGATGACGAGGAAGTCGATGTTGTGACCTCGGACCAAGAGCCTGAGCATGATGACCTTGATTAGGATACTCATACCTCGAGCCCCTTTTGAAAATGTAAAGTTTTAATTTTTGCAAGGACATTGCCCGATCCCTTAGGCATTCATCTTTTAATTTTCCAAGTACAATGCCCGACGATATGGGCCTTTTATATTTTTGATGTTAACAATATGTTTGATCATGCATGTTTGTCTCGATCATTACTTTAGAGGGACGACCTCTCGTGCTCGAATTTTTCATATCCAAATTTAGTCTTAGGTTCGACCTCATAGTAAATGATTTTGAGCTTCGAGGCTTGGTTTTTGACCAAGTCCTACACCCGACCTTTGTTCCCATGTAAATGTCTCGAGCTTTGAGACTTGGTTGTTTAAACTAACTCTTGGGCTCGACCTACAGTATTATACAAAGCAGATGATCTCGAGGACTTTTAGTTTAAGGTATCGAGCTCGATGATAACTTAATGAATTGTAATTGTAATGATCTCGTGGATAACTCGATGAATAAGTTCAAGCAATGAGTTTGACGTCAGCTGATTTATTTAATCCTGGGCTCGAGGACAGCCCAGTTTGTAATTAGGTCGTGAACTCGACAATAGCCCATTTAATCAATTTAATCCTGAGCTCAAGGAGAGCCCAGTCTATAATTAAGCCATGAGCTCGATAATAGCCCATTTAATCAATTTAATCCTGAGCTCGAGGAGAGCCCAGTCTATAATTAAGTCACGAGCTTGATGATAGCCCATTTAATCAATTAAATCCTGAGCTCGGGGAGAGCCCAGTTCATAAATAAATCATGAGATCGAGGATAGCCCATTTAATTAATGTAATCCTGAGCTCGAGGAGAGCCCATTTAATCAACTTAATCCTGAGCTCGAGGAACCTGAGCTCGAGGAGAGCCCAGTTTATAATTAAATAATGGGCTCGAGGATAGCCCATTAATCAATTTAATCATGAGCTCGAGAAGAGCCGAATTCATGGCCGTATTTAATCAACTCAACCTCTAAGTGTTGAGCCCGACGAATATTTCCCAGACATCCCCCATGGTGGTTGGGATGTCCCCTGGCTGCGATGAAGTCCGCTAGGACTTGTCCTTTGATAGAAGGTCGGGGTTTGAACTCTATATCGAATTCTCCAAGTTCAACTACCCACTTCAACAATCTTCCTAAAACGTTCGGCTTTGAAGTATCTGTCTGAGTGGCTAGTCCGTAAGCACTAAAATGGGGTGTGACTGGAAATATTGTCGTAGCTTCCGAGCTGCCATAACCAGTGTAAGGGCAAGTTGTTTTGCCAGCGTGTACCTTGTCTCTACGTCCAACAATACCTTACTCACATAGTAGATGGGTTGTTGAGCCTTCTTCACCTCTTTCACCAGTACCCCGCTCACCGCATTTTGAGATACAGCCAGGTATAGGTATAACGTATCTCCAGGCTCGAGTTTTGTGAAGATTGGAGGAGTGGCCAACGCCTGCTTGAGCTCCTGGAAAGCTCTTTCGCACTCTTCATTCCAACTGAAACTTTGATTACCTCTAAGAGCTTTGAAGAATGGAAAACACCTATCAGCTGCTCTAGACATAAACCTATTGGGGGAGGCGACCCGGCCTATCAACTTCTGAACCTCTTTCTTGTTCCTAGGTGATTTCGTAGATATTAAAGCTTGTATTTTATCTAGATTTGCCTCAATCCTCCTATGAGTGATCATGAATCCTAAGAACTTTTCCGATGCCACCCCAAAAGCACACTTTGCTGGGTTCAACTTCATCTTATATCTTCGAATTATTGAGAAGACATCCTCTAGGTCGGCGATATACCCATTCACCTACTTACTCTTGACGACCATGTCATCGACATAGGCCTCAATACTTTTCCCAATCAGGTCAGCAAACACTTTGTTGATGAGCCTTTGATAAGTCGCCCTTGCATTCTTCAAACCAAATGGCATGACTTTATAGCAATATATGTCGGAGTCGGCTACGAATGACATCCTCTATTGATCTTCCTCAGCCATACGGATCTGGTGATAGCCCAAGAATGCATTAAGAAAGCTGTACAACTTGTGACCCGATGT